GAAGATTGAATTCTGGGTTGTTATTGCTGTTAGTTCAGTTCTACCAAAAAGAAGTTTAATTCCTTAAGGATAAGAAAAGAAGAGACTGGTGATTAACAGTTTTGTTATCGTTGACGTAATTTTCTTCTATGTTCGGGCAAACTGAGCTTTAAGTCATAAGAAATAGGAATACAAGTGTACTATTAGAATTAGTGAACTTAGTCCTTTTGTTCTGATCTCTCTTTTCTTTAGTGTCTAGTGAATTATAGTATAGAACGTGAGTAAGCAAGCATGAAAAGCGATTTTCGTGTGACCTTGGAATTGTTCCACACAACCATGACAACAAAGGAAATAAAGAAATAATCTGATCGGCTAAGGGATGCAAACATGGTATGGCTTGGCGAACACGCGAGAAAGCTACCGGATAGGAACAAAAAATTTACTTTGATTTTATTTACGTCAGTAACACTGAGGTCACACAAAATCTCTCTACTCCGTCTAAACACTTTACTGACTGACGGAAATTAAGTAACCAACTAGAATGAACGCAAGAATGAATGTTTTAATCCTTTTACTTCCACAGTCAATTATAGGGCATGAGATTTAATTTCAATTTAAAGTCTATAACCAAAATCCAATCCCTGCGATGGACTAGCATCCCGTCCAGGGCACCTTTACTTTACCAAAATCCAATACAGACTTACGACGTAAGCATGAAAGCGAGGCCTAACGGCCACAGATTTCTCGCAAACTTAAAAATGTAAACAGGTCGGCGAAAGCAAGAACGATTTGTGATATAGAGATCAAAAAATTAAGCCCAAAAGATATTCCTGAAGCATTTATATGAAGTGAACGTGCGTTGGATAGTGGACTGTGGAGAAACTAACCTTCGGCAAGGATCCTTCGGAAATACATGAAACGTCAAGTCTTTCCTATTATAGGAACGATTATTGCAAAGCGCAGCATTTGGAAGAACTATTTTTTTTGTCGTTTAGTTGTAGGGTGCGCTTCTGCCATTTTAATTGTTATGTGGCCCTTAGGCCTCGCTTTCATGCCTACGTTGTAAGTGTGTATGATTTTAGCTTTCAAACAACTCCTCTTTAACATTGTGCTTTCTTATGTTACTGTAATAAATGAATCTGAAAAGTTTCGTAGAGTTTTCAGTGTTACAAAACTTGGAAATGAAAGGGTTAAAATGTGGGACGCGTTCGATTGACTGTATTCCTGAATAAACTGTGAAATGCTTGTCCACTCATACTTGCACCGTAACATCTTCAACCCCTCTGACAGACAGTAGTTATTTGAATGCAGCTTTCCAGTTGCTTTAAATCGCGATACTGATTTGTCTTTAGTAGTGTTTGTGATATCGTTCCTCGGGGATACGACCAGTTAGGAACGCTTCCTGTAGGTGAAGAGATCTTAGATATTTTCGCCTCATTAATTCAGTGCTGTTATTTTACAATCATGTAATTTAAACGTAGAATTATAAGTATATTCAACAGTCATACAGCACTATCACCAATTTCATTTTTTTACTATTGCTAAAATACGGTGGTATCAATTCAGCAATGTAAGTCAGAGTTGCGTAGTTAAACTTAAGTTTATTTTCTAGTATTAACAGTGGAAAGTGGCACGAAGCGATAAATGTACATGTACATGCACCGAAATTATGAACAAGCCTCCTTTTCCCATGGCACTGAGACTTGGTTTTGATCACCTGAGGCTGGAATTCTCTCATACATGTACTTCTTTTGATGTTCAATTTAGACTTTTCCGGTTGTTATACTTGTGCCACTTTCCCGCTTTAAGTACAATGCATTCCCATCATTATTTATGGAACTTAATGCAACTATCAATGCTGTATACCGAGGTGACGTAATGTTTTCCCTTTTTTTTCTCTATTTTCCTTTCTTTTCTTTTTTTTTTTTGCTGCTCGTAGCTTGATCGTCACAAAATTTGAAAAGCCCAAAGATGCAGTATTTTCAAGAATAAAGCGAAGAATAAATGTTTTATTTTTTCTACGTTCATATTGATATTATGTAATATTTATTTTTCTGTCTGACTTAACTAGGGCCCAGTTGTTCGAAAGGTGGATAACGCTATTCTTTAAACAAAAATCTATCCAGGGATAACGTAGTTGGTCTTTCTAAAGTATGTTCCATCGGATAGTGATTTATTTGGTGGGTAGAGTTATCCAACAACTTAGGCCAGAAATCTCTCTTACGTCATCTCACTACAGCTATCCTTGATCAGTGGACTGGGCATCGTACAAGGGACATGTTTGTCTTTGCTTTAGCTTGGGTTGGGGAGAGAAAAAACATCACTATACGGTTTTCTAGGCCATCTGACTTGATCGTTAGAGACCTCACCTTGCAACGATTGTCTACGAAGAGAGACAATATTCTTTTAGTACATGTGGTGACTGCGAAAAAACAGACCAGTATCATTTGTGTGATGCAGGTGATGCTAAGCCTCTCTGACGGCAAGCTAATGCTTTTGTCGACTTAAAAATGGATTGTACGATACACGTATAAGAAATGTTCGTAGGCAATAGAAATGCCTGCTAAGTGTGTGAAAGAGAAGGTATGATTTTCACGAAATAAACCACTGATTGTTAAATAGTAGTCTGTGTTTCTCCTACCTTATTATTCGGTTGTTGATGTGTTAATGGAACATTGTTATACACCTATCAATGGTTTGTCCCAGGAGGGAGGGGGGGAGGGGGGTGTGCAAACCTCGGGAATTTGACTTGGTGAAACGCACACGGGTGAGGATTTTGACACCCTTAAAGCCCCCAGAGAAGTGGGAAATTTGACTCAGCCATCATCTTGCAAAAAGGAGAGGACCAGGGAATGACTGATCTTAAGACTTTTGAAAAGGGTAAAAAATTCTCGCGTAAAAGTTGACGTGGGCTGCTTTGAGCTTTTATCGCGCTATAAACTTAAACTAAAACTAACTTAAATTTAAACTAACTGTCGAGTTGAAATTGATGTTACAAAGAACATCAACAGCAAATTATTTGTTTCATACTTAAGATGTACGTATAACCACTGTTTTTTGGAGAAAACTTCATGGCTATGTCAAATTCGCTGTTTGCCGTGACGACAATATCTAACATGCGTAAGAGGGACATGTTTTTCCAAAAATATTGGTGAGCTCGTTGATGTTGTTATGGAAACCAAGCAAGATATACTTAATATATAAGTAGAGTTAGCTTGTAAAGTACGAAGGAGTAGAGGAGTACTTAGTACATTAAAATTGGCGATAAACTGATTTAGATTAAAAGAGTAGGCGGTCATTGTTGTGTTTTGAGTACATTTAAGGAGGACCGTCTTTGACTGATGTCTGTTAAAAGACCTTGTTACCAAGTGGTATTTCTTAATTTATCCCTCGGCGAAACAGTCGCTAAACAAATAACTGTTGATTAACAAACATTTCTCCTACCTGCTTCATGTTCTTAAGAGTGACTTTAAATCAGTTAGCTAAAGAGAGAAGTAAAAAATAAATTTTATTTAAAATAAATATACTGTTAGAACTTCTTTGTTTTTCCCTTGGATAAATTCGTACATTACAGGTTTCGGCGCTTTTGTTTGTGACACTGTACAAATTGAAGAACCACTACAGAGGGAAATTCAGCAAGACACAGAAGCAGAAAAGTATCCCCAGGTTTGGCCGACGGTGCTTTCCAACCATTGGTTCTTAATTCCTTGGCATTTTTTTATACTAACACTGTAGCAGGTGGAATTAAACAGCGTAATTAAATTCAGAATCCAGGTATTAAAGCTCATGTTGTAAATATGCCAGCAGTTGGTAAATTGATTTTGTGTGTAACCAATATTTTAATTTCAAAAATTGCGAAAAGGGTTTGACACCATTTTCTTTAAACATGTTACTGGATATCTTTTCCACAGTATCANAAAGCTCATGTTGTAAATATGCCAGCAGTTGGTAAATTGATTTTGTGTGTAACCAATATTTTAATTTCAAAAATTGCGAAAAGGGTTTGACACCATTTTCTTTAAACATGTTACTGGATATCTTTTCCACAGTATCATCGAAGAAGATCGAGTTTTGTTTTTCCTTTGTCCTTTGGTTTTCCGCGCGAAAAAGGAACGTAAAGTTTGCATTCAAGAGACAAAAATGGTAATGTTGTAATTTATTATATCTAAGAAACGTTAGCTAGATTTAAGATTTCCGTTCCGTTCATCGCTCGTCAGCGCTGAAAAATGATGAACAACTAGTTACACCGAAACGTTTTTGTGACCAAACACACCTCGAAAACCCCTAGATGTTGTTAAAGTTTAGATATCGGGAATGACTCGTACGAATGTTGCCTTTTTTTCTTAGTTGAGATTATGCCAGTGAAAAGTGTATCCGAGGAAATTGGGTAGTACTGATTCATTCTAGGTATTGCTTCTAAAGGTGTACTTTTAAAATCAAACAAATAAGGCATAACGTCTTAACGAAAAAGAAAAAATAATTAATTTTTGAAAGTTGCTTCCCTCCTTGAGAGGCTGTAGGCAAACACCTCTCGGAGCGAGAAAATTAAAAACGAAATGGGGCTTGTGCAATGTTGTGTTAAGTGTTTCCTCTGGTAATGAAATAGTCTCTGTTGTTTGAGTAAAGCCGTTATTAAAACAACAGAAGCGAAATGGGAACAGTGAAATAGTAGCTAGCTGCGGGCCAGACTGAAAGATTCAAACGTCATCGTGGACGCACAAAATTTGTCTTAGTTTGAGATTAATACTCGGCACTAATCCAGTTAAAATAAGGACCTTTATATAGAGGAACTAATTCTAAGTACTTATCTCTTATTTGAAACCTGGACTTTTAATTATTTTCATTATTTGGATTGAAAGTCTTTTCTGAAACAAACATATCTTTTATTTATTTCAGATCAGTTAATTGAACGGATTTGAGTTCTTGTTAAAAACAAACGTTATTACAGCAGTTATAGACGCTTCTGCTAATAATCAGCTTATCGCCGGATCGTTCTTGACTTGTCGATAACGGATGGTATAATGGAAAATAACACTGCTGACTGCGCTTTCTTCAAAGACAGTCAATACAGACGTGTACAGATGTTTAGCGCAAATTATGCGGTCATGATTTTAAATTGTATACTATGCTTCACGGCCACGCTGCAAAACGTGCCGGTTATAATGGCAATAATCCGAACACCATCTCTTCACAACCCATCAAATGTTCTCCTTTGCTCCCTAGCTATTACCGATCTGGCCGTCGGCGTTGTGGTTCATCCAATATTTGTGGCTTTTAAAGCTCGACTTCTCCAAGGTGACTTTGTATGCCCTTTATTGTTCGCTAAAGAAGGATTGGTCATATATACGGCGATTGTTTCGATGCTTACTCTATTAGCCATCAGTCTAGAGCGTTTAATCGCCTTATATGTTCATTTACGATATAAAGAACTTGTCACCATCCCACGAGTAATAGCGATTGCCATAGCAATGTGGTTCTTATGGGGCTTGATTGTATGTGCCTGGCCACTGGGGCTTATAGACATCTACATATTATCCCTCGTTGGCATCATAATAATAGTAGTAGTTGGTGTTGCATTAACTGTGGCCTGTGCGATAATTTTCCGTATTTTGCGAAGGCACCAGGCTGTGATAATGGATCAAAGCAAGTTGCAGGCCGCAAAAACGTTTTCACGCAGTAGAAAGTCTGCGGCTGTCATACTGCAGGTCGTGATTCTGTTTTTCGTGTTCTACGCTCCGT